GGGGGGGGGGGGGGGGGGGCGTTTGGTGTTACAGACCAAGGTTGAGCCCTCAGCCTTAAGACCTAAGCCGTATACGCCAAGCGCCGTACTCAGGGCTCCGTTGAGGGGTTGTGGGTTCTGTTTGGGCTGCAGGGTCTAGGTATAGGGGTGGAGAACTGCATGTAGGGTTCCAAGTCTGGGGCGATGTATCGTAGAAGGACGAGGTGTGGCGGCATTACTGACTCAGGCATCGTTTTCAGGTTTCGAAGCCGGCAGCCCCTAAGGCCCAAACTTCAAACCACAAACGTCCATGAAACCATAAAGCCTCGACCCCAAACTCCGAGCCCAAAGCCTTTGAAGGAGAAGGGGGCAGAGTTCATCGACTACGACTGCCAGGGCCTTAGGGGAATCCCTCGCTCGGTCCTGGCGCTTTGGAGCATTAAGCATGTTTTTTTGGGGGGCTCGAGTCTTTGTGTTGGAGTCTTAAGGGTTGGGCGGCTTGGTATCAGGGTTCAAGGTTGCTGTGCTTTCGGGGCTTCTTCAGGGCTTCGGGTGCCTCAGAACTCAGGGCTATTCCAGGGTATGTTTGGGACTTTGGGCTTTGAAGGATGTAGGCTTATCTGGGAAGGCCCAGGCTTTCGGTTTAGGGCTTCAGGGCTATTTTTGGGATTTGGGCTTTTGGGGTTTAAGGGCCTGCGGTTTCGATCTCTAATTGACTGCTTCATGGTGCCATGTTCAAGCGCTTAGGTATTCGCTGCGGATGGAGGGCCAGTTTAGCCCTGAACCCTAAACTCCTAGGGTTCAGGTTTAGTTGGGACTCAGGCTTTCCCAGGCTTTAGGACTCAGAGATGAGCTAGGGTTGGGGGTTTCGAGGGTTCAGTCGTTTCAGGGTTTTTGAAGAGGGATTCCGGCCCCAAAGACACCGTCCTTGCACGCCAAACCCTACATGGCCCTACATCCAACTAATCTTCCAATGAGGTTTCCGAAAGTTTGGGGGCTCTTCTTATCATGGGATCCTACTATGCAGGGTATCTAGAGGCCTTATACATCCTTTCTTGGTCCACCATAAACCCGTCGAGCAGCTCGCGACAGGTGACCAGGGCATCTGGCAGTTCCGCGTCACCCACTTCTGAAAGAGCCTTGGGAAATCCCCTCGTCACGTGCCTCCCTATTCTATCATGTAATACATTCTCGCAAAAAAAAACACTGCTTGAATATATGGACAAGCACACGCACAGCCCTCGGACGCGAAAGGCCTCGTTTAAGTTTGGTGGTGGACCGAAGGGATCTCGGATGTACAGAGGCTCCCGGAGAGCAGCGGGAGGTATCCTACAAGCAATTGAATGCACGGGCGACCCACCGCACATGGAAATGGCATTGATATGCCTCGTCCATAGTAGCGGTCTTCCTTAGCTTTACAAGGCTGGCAAGACCAAGTACCTACCGTAACTAGTGGCACTTCCATGCAGCCTTTATCATGCAACACTCTTGCACCGATGACCAAACCTCTCTGGCGCTAGGCTTGGAGATCCTGGCGCTGTGGATGTAGAAGGTCCAAAATCCTTTAAACACATCACAGAAAGCAAGCAGATTTGAAGCTGCATGTTCGCCCCCCCTCAAAGTCCTGATTTCGGAGTGTCAAGGAGAGAATTTTGATGATTGTACTCCGCAGCCATACACAACTTCCTGTTCCGCTTATGCCAAGCCCAAAGCCTCACGGAAAGAGAGCAATCCATCAGCTTCTTAACAACATCTTCATGTTTTCGGTGCGGCCGCGCAAATGTCATAGCTGTCTTTGCAGTCCTTTTCCGTGTCCCTTGAAGGTCCTAAGCCCCGAAGCACACAAGCCTGATTGTCCCTCAAAGGCACGGCTAATTAAGTTGCTAAATTCGCTGCGAGACGCTGCGCGAAGACTCCATGCAAAGTTCGCATCTGATGCTGTGAGTTTTCAGATCTGGGAGGGAGGTTGGAATTTACCTGTCCTATGTATGTTACACCTCAGAGTCACCGTCTTTCGAGCCATGATCCATGGGACAAGTGGTGTATGCAGTAGCAGGCTTAATAGTCATCTTCCAACGCATCGTTGAAAGTGGACCATTGTTAGTTAGTACATACAGAGGATACAGAGGCAACGTCAGAGGTGACGCGCATTGTACCTGTGCGTATAGTGCTATAGCAAAAGTATCAACATAGCAGTTGCGACAATTAGAGGCTGGAAGGCAAACAGTGGTGAATGATGTAGTGGAAACATCAGACATAGCTGCGCTCCGAGTGGCAATGAATGGTGGTAGCAAGCGGCGCTGTAGCAGATCAAGACGTCGACGAGTACCATACGATGATGGCTACGACTGTTCCTGTGCGGTTTCAACTGCTGTTGCTATAGACGGCAAGAATCAATGTGCGAGTCGCAGGTCCGACTGAGCTTCAGGTCTATGCGTGCTTACGGTCTGAAGGGTGAGGAATCTTGCCCCAGTGGGGGTTAGCAATCTCTGCACCAAAATCTACGATCAGGCGTTTTTGCATCTGTTTCGAGCATGCGATCGGTGGTTGGGTATGTTTGCACGAGTTGAGGGGAGGTCCTTGAAACCTTAGCCGGCCACCCACCGTAAGCACGAAATCCTAACCCTAAATCTTAGGAGCAAAAACTCGATGCCGGCAGCACTCCTGAGGAATGAAGTCTTCGCGTTAAACTTTGTCGTTGCACCCTCGCAGTTCCACGGATGCTGCGGTCCTCTCCGAGCTGGCAGCGGCCGGCGCGGCAACGAAGGTCCTCCAGGCAGTTCGTTGAGGAATTTAGATTGGAAATGCAGGGGTCCAGAAGGGTTGCTACATTTACGAGGGTTGCTCGAATACAGAAGGGGTTTCTGCATGGGTTGCCGCAAGGGTTCAATGAGGGTTAGTTAGTATACTATTACAAGGGTTACTTTACCATTGTAAGGGCTTCTGTAGGGGTTACTATAGACTGTAAGGGTTTCTCCTAAGGGGTCCATAAAGGTTGCCAATTTCAGTACCACTTTAAGGGTTTCTAGAAGGGCTCCATAAAGGTTCTACCAGGTATCCGAGGGTTTGGAGCTTAGGGCTCAGGTGATGTTGGAGGTTTCGGGTTTGAGGCAGGTTGAACGGCACTTTCTGGTACCCGGATTACTGTTGCTGATGTTGCCGTTGTTGTCTTTATCGTAGCAAACAGCAGCCGTTTGATGGCTACTGCACTGTTGCTCTTTAGAATACTGTTGTCCTATTGACTACTGACTCTGCGTCTGTCACTGGTTGATGAGTTCTTGCTGTTGACGTGTTGTTTTCAGTGCTCCGGAACAGTTGTAGCTTTGAGCTTCCTACCCGAGAAGGATGCCCGAGCAGCAGACAGCCTGTCGCACGGCAAAATGAACCCAGATTCAATCGGTCCAGGGTTGTCGCGATATCTTGCGCAGATGGAATCCAGATGTGTCAGATCAACTTTCTTGCATCCCGGCAGCGTCACTTCATATAAATCAAGGATGGTTCCCCTAAAGACATAACACAAACTGCCTAAACTCGTATCTGACTGTTTTTGAAGCCCCTGATCCCACTTGGGTCTTGAGCTCAGGCTGCTGCAGATCAGGATAATTGAAAACAACATCCCCTTGCACTCCTCGTATATGTGTCCCATATAAAATAATAGATCCCAGAACCCTATTTTAACCGTTCTAGCCGTTAAGACCTCTATGCTCAGCCGCTGCCCGCAGCTGCGGCTTCCCTTTGAGCTCCCAGAGAGCCCAATACCCCTTAATTAAGCAATATACCTTAAACTATAGGGGCCTTAATATTATGATCCTTAAACTCTTGGGGCCTTAATATTATGATTTAAGGTCTATTCCTTAACTATGGGCCCTCTGGGCTGAGGCCGCTGAATTCCAAACCCTAAACCCTAAACCCTAAACCCTAAACCCTAAACCCCAAACCCTAAACCCTAAACCCTAAGCCCTAAACCCTAAACCCTAGGCCGCTGAATTCCAAACCCAGCTCCTGGAGCTTCTGGCCGACACCTTCAGCAAGGCCGGGCTTCCGCCAGAGACTCCAACACCCCTTAGTTAAGGAGTAGACCTTAAATTATAGGGGCCTTAAAGGGGTTAAGGAGTAGACCTTCAATTTATAGGGGCCTTAAAGGGATCTATAAGGGTTTAGGGTTTAGGGTTTAGGGTTAAGGAATATACCTTAAATTATAGTAGGGATCCCAAAAAAGATTTAAGGTATATCCCTGAATTTAAGGGGTATTGGAGTCTCTGGTGCAAACCTACACCAAGCATCACCTTAGCTTAGGGCCTACTAGGGGGTTTAGGGTTTTAGGAGTTAGGATTCAAGGTTCGGGGTTCAGAGTTTTGGTTTCGGTTTGTGTAGCGACCCCCAAACCCCTTTAGATCGCGCTCGAGCGCAGCAGACCCAGCTCGCTCCCTCCGGCAAACTGAAAGGTCTCATGTTTGAAGCATCCAAGAGGGAAGCTTACCGGGGCTTCACTCCCAGAACCCCGAATTGCAAATGTCAACCCAGAAGCCCAAGCCCGACAGGCTAAACCTCAAACCCTGAACCTAAAATCACCGAACCGTAAAACCCGAAGCCGAACGGCCGTGATCTGGGCTTCGCTGCCAGGCTTGCCTGCGAAAAGCCACCTTTGTCAAGGTAGGCACCTTGCATCCAGATGCCAAGGGCCTGAACGTGCTGCTGAAGGCACCGGGGTGTTGAGGTTTGGGTGAACTGCTTTGGCCTCGGTCTGGCGATCTGTGCCATCATGGTCATCATCTTCATCGGCTGCATCACAATCATGAATTACCAATGTTGCCATCACGGATCGACCTGACTCGTCCGAATAATTTTCAATTATGGTGACGGTTGTGGTAATGATGATGATGATGATCATCATCATCATCGTCATTACCATCGTCA